CTCTGACCCCAAGCTTCTCTCCCTGTCTGTGTGTCTCATGGAGAGCAAGCTGGGGTATGCGAAAAGACAAATTCCTAATGCAAGAAATTGTATATGGCTAATAAAGTGATCCTATATGGATAACATACTACAAAGTATTTAGCTTTGTACAATAAATTGCTACTGAAAAGTTTATTTTGTTTTAAAATGGGAGCATGCATTTTTCTTTTTGTTTTTACTCTGAGCCTTGCAAACAAGTTGCAAAACGCTAAATGGCTTCAGTCTGATTCTGATGTTTTGCAGGTATGTGCCTTGGAATCTACATGAACCAGAGAGAGGGCGCTTTGATTTCAAAGACCAGCTGGATTTAGAGTAAGCCTTCTCCTCTTTGTTTGGAATCAAAGGAGGTCAAAGCTCCTGATGAGTTTTGTGCCTCCACTTTTTCATCCAGTCTTTCTAATCTTGCAAAATGATCCGTAGTTTAATCATGAATCCAATGTTGTGCCCGCCACTCAAATAATTAGGAAAGTATATTCCTGTAATTTACAAGATTTATAATCTAAAAAAAACCTAAAAAATCAGATGTAAAATATCTCAGGAATGCAATCTGGATTCCGTATTTGTTTGAGACCTTTCTGTTGAAACACACCTACTGTACAGTTATGTGACTCATGAATGTTTTCATCGTCTCCCAGATTTCTTGTAGATTATGAAAATGTAGAGAAAACCCAAATGGTGCTATGTTTTTAGTGCAAAATAGTTTTAAAGGAAAGTGATGACATTGGTTGTTTTATGAAGCAGCATACAGTGGGCTCAATAATTATTTGCAACCTTGATAAAGATGAACAAAAAAAAACAACATACAAAATAAACATCACAGATAATGAGCTTTATTTTATGTCCCCCAAAATGGAAAAACTACAGGCTTTTATTCTAATGCAGTTATTTCTAAACAAATATGTAATACAATTTTTCTCCTATGGGTTTTTTCATTCCAAAATGAAATCTTCAATGAAATTCAGCTTACCTGAACACAATTCTGTCCAAAGGAATTATTTTTTGAACTTGTCGGAGCTGTTTCTGTAGCTTATAAAAATTAGGTTACACACATGAGCACATGTGCAAGGTAATGCACATGTAACCTTTCAGTTGCTGATCTTCACAAATAAGGTAATGGATACAAAAAAAATGAGAAGTTAAATAAACCACTATGCACTACTAAGGCAATGATCAAGAAGTTCCAAACCACCAAAACTGTGGTTAACGTACCAGGAAGAGGACACAAGTACATCTTGGCCACTGTTTAAGAACTGCGATACCTGGTTGCATCTTGGGGTCAAGTCTCCAAAATCAACAATTTGATGGTACATCCATGCCAACAGGCTATCTGGAAGGGTTGCCAGAAGAAAGCCCTGACAAACAACAAGAGAAATTGAAACAGCTGGACTTTGCCAGACACCACTGAGACCAGGTGCTGTGGTCAGATGAGTCACAGAATTTAACTCTTTGGCCTTTCACATTAATATAAGATCACCTAATTAGCCATTTACAATTTCTTGCATTAGGAATTTGTCTTTTTGCATACCCCAGCTTGGTCTCCATGAGACACACAGACAGGGAGAGAGAAGCTTGGGGTCAGAGTGTAGGGTTAGCCATTTACCACATACGGCGTCTCTGGAGTAGTTGGGGTTAAGGGCCCGGCTCAGGAGCCCAGCGGAGTAGGTTTCCTCTTCCGGCTGCAGGATTTGAACCGACAGCTTTCCAGCAACAGGTGCAGATCCTGAGCCACAGAGCCACTGCACTGCCCCATTACCAGTACGTTTGGCTTCAGGAGAGGAACACATGCAAAGAAAAGAACCTCATACCCACTGTGAAATATGGTGGTGGATCGTTGATGTTCTGGAGCTGTTTTGCAGCCACTGTCCCTGGGGCCCTAGATAAGATCAATGGCATCACGGACTCTTCTAAATATAAGGATACTCTGGCCAAAACCCTGGCTGCCACTAACAGAAAGCAATGACTCACTCGCATGTGGACCTTCCGGCACGACAGTGACCCTAAACACACCTCAGAATCAACAAGGCAATGCTTGGCTGAAAACAAAATCTACATTTATAAATTTCTGCAAGGTCGAAGTTCTCTCCTAATGTGTTCTCTAACCTTATTAAACATGATAGGAAAAGGCTTTGTGCTGAGGAATTTGCGTCAGGTACTAGAAGCAGGGGATCCAATCATTTTGAGAAACAAATAGTAATGAGAAATAATTGTATTAGAATAAAATCCACTAGTTTTCCCATTTTGTGGGGCAAAAGATATTGGTCATTACCCGTGCAGTTTATTGTTTAAAGCTTTTTTTGTTCATCTTTATCGAGGTTGCCAATAATTGTTGAGCCCACTGTATCGCACAGACAACACTTAAGGGAAATGGTTTGTGATGTAACACAAGAAGTGGCAGCACATAATATGATTGAATGAATATTACTTTGTTCATGAGAAAACATGTCACAGTGCAAATAAGCAAAAACCAATGACACCAATGTAAAACCCAGCTGATCTGGGCGAGTTTACTTCTAAATTGTTTTTGGGATGGATTGTCGTTAGTTTCCAATCTGTGTTTAAAACAAAACACATTTAAACCTATAACGTCACAGGTGTTTTCACACCCATCCCTGCCCAGATGAGTCTGTGTGCTATTTAAACCACATGAGAGTTATCTGTTCAGAGAAAATGGTTCATTAAGACCGGTCTCCACTCAGGAGAGCAGCACATAGACTGCTCACACATCAACACCAAACCTACACCTTGACTCCTAATTAACAACTCTTGAAAAACTCCCTGTTCCTTCAGTGTTTTGTTGCCTTTTCTGTCAGTAACATTCAGCTTGATTTCATCCAGCGGGAGTTTCATTTCAAATATATATTGGAGAGGGGGATGTTCAAGCACAGAGACAGAGGATGGGAATTTCAAACAGACACGTGAATCAGATGTGTTTTCAACACTGTGGAAAACAGGCAACATTAGTGAAGTTGCTGTACTATCATTTGACAACGTTTCATTTAAACATTTGGTATGAACCAGAGCTTTACTTTATTAAGTTAAAGATCTCTGCCATGCCAAATTATGCCACTCCTTAACATGGGAGGGTTGTTCGACTTTTCTGCTGTACTGGTGCAGCAGTGATAAAACACCCTCTTCTGGGTTGTCTGTGTAAGGCCCTGCACGGTGTGTGAGGCCAGGCTGCAGGGAATCGGATGTTTCTATGTTTGCTTTTCATTTCGTGTCGACAATCATAGCAGAGCTGCATTGGCTCTCTGGGGAAAAAAAAAAACGCTGTTGATTTTAAGGTGGGGGTGAGGTCTGCTCCTCTTGTTCTACTTTCTCATCTCCTGTTCCTTAGGGCCTTCATTAATCTGGCAGCAGATGTGGGACTGTGGGTGATTCTGAGGCCCGGGCCCTACATTTGCTCAGAGTGGGATCTCGGCGGACTGCCAAGGTGAGTGTGCTGCCCACTCGAACTACAGGAAGGCCTCCCCCTAAACAGCTCCAGCTTTATTTTGCCTGTCAAACCTTTGGACTCTGCTTACTGTTTTCTTCCCTGTGCTAATCAACTATGAAAACAGGACATGGGGCGGAGAACAAAATATGTGATTACCTGATACTTGCAGATCCATTAAAAATGAAGAGCATGTGTATACTGTACAAAGGTCTCGTGTGTGTGATAAAAGAATCTCTTTGGAGGAACACGACGATTTGTTATGCTAGTTTTCCATCATAGCAAAATGGCAGATTAATCTGAGCTTTGTTTGTTTTACTGAGTAACAACTGAGGTCTCTAAGAAGGCTTATTTTATTGTCCTAGCTGTCTTGTTTTGCAGTTGTTGTCCTGTGAATTAGACCTTACTGTTCTTCTCCTTCAGTTTGTACAACAGATTAAAGCTGCTCAAGAAAGGTACGGATAACTCCCTGAGTTTTTACAACCGGAGTAAATCACTGATTCTGGAGAATGTTTGTGGCTTAGCAGAAAGTTAGATTAGTCATTAAGTAGGTAATAAGTTTCTGCAAGGGTTAGGCAATCTGACAATTTCTGTTCATTCCCTTACATAAACTAATCTGATATCTTGCAGCACCTCCGCAGAATTTAATCCGGAAAAAGTCCGAAAGATGAATCACCACTCTTATTCCTCAAGTCCTATCTTGGCCTTTCCCTTCAACACTTGGAGTTGATTTTTGCCATCTAAAATCTTTAAAAAAGAGGGATAAGTGTGCATATTTCAATGCAGTTAGGCGTCTCCTTTGTTAGAAAAAATATGTAATTGTCATTTTCTCGAAGAATCTGCAAGCGCTGATCGTGTGTTACAGTCCGCACTCAGTCGATTAAAAGTCTTGGGACTTGTCCTTTGGATTCTGGGACACAGAGTTGTATGGCTAAAGTATACTATTGGTAATGGGTGTGGGGCTTTAACACCTGTATGGCGCAATTTAGAATCTGCTACTACTCTGGGTATTAGTGTAGTACAAATGGCACAATGAAACAATATTTTTAAAACCCTGCTATTGCATACGTGGCCTGAGGCTGGTATGCCCACCCCCATCCATTTTCGAATCAGTTCATGGGCTTCAGGGTCACAGGAGAGCTGGAGCATCCCTTGGAAAGAACAGGCGCAAGGTGGGATACACCCTGGAGGGGATACCAGTCCGTTGCAGGGAGGAAACTGGAGTACCTGGTGGAAACCCATGCAAATATGGGGAGAACATACAAACTCCACACAGACAGCATGCTGGGAATCGAACCCAGATCCCCAGAGCTGTGAGGCAGCAATGCTAATTACAGTGCCACCGTGCTGCCCAGACTCAAAGTGCATCATGGACACCCCTCAGTTTAATTAAAAAGTCTATCGGTGGATAGTGCTGTCTTTATAAGAAGAGCTGTCCCCCCTGTCGCTGTTGATGACTTCCTGAACCGCTCTGCGGTTGCCTTCCAGCTGGCTTCTCCGCGATAAAGACATGCGGCTCAGGACGACCTACGAGGGCTTCACCGAGGCTGTGGATGCCTACTTTGACAGACTCATTCCGATAGTGGCGCCCCTTCAGGTAATCCGCCCGAGAGCATGAGACAACGTCTGTATGTGCTGAGCCATTTGTGCCGATGCTTTTCCTGGCTCCGTTTATAATAATAATAAATGATAATAAACTTTATTTTATATAGCACCTTTAAAGGCAGATTCTCAAAGCGCTTTACAGGATGACAACAATAAATAAGAAGAATACACAAGATAAAACACAATTACAATATACAGAAGTAACCGTGGATGGTGGTACTAAGAAAAGCAGAGGGGTGAAGAATGGAACCAGTTAAGTAAAGGCTTTTCTGAAGAAGAGGGTTTTGAGTTTGGATTTGATGGAGTTTGGAGAAGTTGACTCTCTGATATCCTTGGGGAGAGAGTTCCAGAGCTCTGGGGCGCAGCAGGAGAAGGCCCTGTCACCCATACAATGTAGACGTGCTTGGGGGACAGTAAGGAGAGCAGAATTAGAAGAGCGAAGGTTGCCAGGTGGGGAGTAGGGCGATATTAGTTCAGACAGGCACTGAGGTGCCAAGCCATGCAGAGCCTTATAGGTGAGCATGAGGATTTTAAATTTTTTGAAGGATTTTATTTTGGAATTTGATGAACTGTGACCCGAAGCCAGTGCAAGGACTCCAGGATAGGAGTAATGTGAACACTTGCACTAGACTTGGTCAGGATTCTGGCTGCTGAATTTTGGACATACTGCAGTTTGTTAATTTTTATTTCAAGTTTATTTGTAATAAAAGTTCAAGTTTATTTGACTTCCTGCGTTTGTCTTCCTGTGCTTTTAAAACAAACCTCTTCTGCAAAGAAGGAATCAGTGATGTACTGTATATAGCACTGGGAGGGATTCTGACGCCTCAGTAATAGGAAACTGTGTGCACATTGCAATGTGCTCTTATCTAAAGCTGTATAGGGCATCCTGGTGCAAGAGTATTTAAAAACGTGACCTTTTTCTGCTCAGGTGTCCTCTTCTATGTAGCCATGGTGCTTTTTAATTTCTACAGTTCAAGAAAGGGGGCCCAATCATCGCGTTCCAGGTGGAGAATGAATACGGGTCTTATGCTATGGATGAAGAATACATGCCCTACATGAAAAAGGTATCTGGAATTTTGCCTTGCCTGCCAACATATATGCTCAATGTGTTTGGTGTGAAACATAAATACTCAAAGTGTTTTGCCTGTAAATCATACGTTCTGTATGGTTTGCGGTTCTGAGTTTTATTTTGTGCAGCGGAGACCACCAATGTTAGATGACAAAGGAAAAATGTACCGCAGAGCCTGACAGGTCGCTATAATAATAAGAGAAATACCTGTGAAGAAGCTTGGGCTTCACATGCACTGCAACAGGGAGCGGCACCCTCAGAAGCCACGCACGCACGCACACGCACGCACGCACACAGGTCCACTGGGGCTCTCCATGGAGACACAGCTCGCTTCAGAGGTGACATCGAGTCCCCAAGGACTTGCGATGTGCCAAGATAAACCGCAGCTATCATCCACCTAGTAATCTCTCTGGACCTGGCCCTTATCAGAGACGCAAATAGGTGGATGTGTGTTTTTACCTCACCAAAACACCATTAGCCCCTCTGCACATCTCAAATCAAACAATACAGTCTACTTCCACAAGTCCATTCAGCTAGATCTTTTCTTTTGTGCATCCTGTTAAATAGATCTTCAAGCACAGAAGTTGAGAAATCAAGGGAGGGTCTTTAGTTCTGACAATAACTTCTAAATTGTATTCAAGAAACTAAAAAGGAAACCAAAAAATAATCAGAATTCCGTTCAGGTACGTTTACACAGCAAAGTTTCAAATCATTCCCCGTATTGTATACTGCTCCGTACTTGATCACAGAGGTTCTGAAAATGAATGCTGAACAGAAAACATATTTTGATGTAGTTCACTTGTGTTCAGCATTCATTTTCAGAACCTCTGTGATCAAGTAATGAGCAGTATGCAGTACGGGGGATGATTCGAAACTTTTAAAGGAGACGCCTAACTGCATTGAAATATGCACACTTTTCCCTGAAACCAGCATGGTTATCATCTGATCACCAACCTTGCAAGTATCAAATCTCTGCTGTTTTCTCTCAGAGTCTGCTGTCCAGGGAGATAGATGAGCTGCTGATGACTTCAGACAACAAAGAGGGGTTTAATCAAGGAGGAGTGGAAGGAGGTATTGTGCCTTGTTTGTTTTCGGAAACGGATCCTGTGTGTCATCGCGGAGATGAAAGATCATTCCCATGTGACTGCTGTGATGTCATGTTGCTGTAAAAAAAATAAAATCCTCGCCAACTGATCCCTCAGTCTTCAGAAAGACAAGAGGTTCTTTGTCACTCTTGTTCTGACATTGATTTCAGAGTGACGCCAGCAACAAACGCACAAACAAAAAAAACAACTGCCCTTGGAGCGTCGGCTTATTTTAAATTACTTATTTAAACCAAAGATATAATAAAGTATTGTCCAATCATTTTAAATTTCCATTTAAACCAAAGAAATAATAAAGTACTCTGTACAAATCTATTGGTTTCTCAGAAAGGAGAAACCAATAGATTTGTTTTATAGACACATGGCACTGTATTTATGGTGGCATGTGTGTGTTGTCAAACAGGAAAGGCCTCCCTTGTGAGTTTCCTATTCCTGTATGTTTTGCACCAAACCTTAATAACGCTCTCCTTTCTCTGTGGTGTTGAAGCTTTGGCTACCATCAACCTTCAGAAACTGAAACCTGAACATCTAAATCTTCTAGAAGCTACACAGGCAAGTATAAAACACGATCTAATGGCAAAAAATGAAGTTCTTTTTCTTTTGTACCTGCGCATTTCATGATAAAGATGGCAAAAGGCATTTTGGTACCAGACTGTTAAACAAAAACAAGGGTATTCAGCACCCTACGAAGATAGAAATTCACAGGTTTAGGACAAAATTGCCAGCAGCCATGTCATCCTGCAGCTCCCAGCTGGCAGCCCACTGAAGCTCAGCAGGTGTGAGCCTGGTCAGTACCTGGATGGGAGACCTCCTGGGAAGAACTTTTGGTTGCTGCTGGAAGAGGTGTTACTGGGACCAGCAGGGGGATGCCCACCCTGTGGTCTGCGTGGGTCCTAATGTCCCAGTATAGTGACGGGGAGACTGTACTGTAAAAAGGCGCCGTGCTTTGGATGAGATGTAAAACCAAGGTCCTGAATTTCTGTGGTCATTAAAAAGTTTCTCAAAAATAGAAGGGGTGTTACCCCGGCGTCCTGACCAAATTTGCCCCTGGTCTTTACTGATCACGGCCTCCTTGTAATCCCCATCTCAGAACCGCTTCATCACTCTGTTCTCCTCCCCACTGAGAGCAGGTGTGTGGGGAGTGTACGCTTGTCAGGTAATGGGGACTCTCCTCCACCACCACCAGTGTGCAGCCCCACCTGGATGATGCAGAGTGCCATCATCCAGGTGGGGCTGCACACTGGTGGTGGTGGAGGGGAGTCCCCATTACCTGACAAGCGCTTTGAGTGAAGTGTCCAGAAAAGCACTATATAAGTGTAAGCAATTATTAAAATAAACACACACACGTGTGTCAGTAGAACCACAATACCTTAGATAAATTAAACCTAGTTAAAAAATTTAAGGTGGGTTACATTGAATTATAATTTTGAAGCAAGACGGAGCCCAAAACGGAGAGGAGAATAGAATGTCATGTTTACATTTGCAATTTTGTCTTTATTTTAGGATAATTAAGATTTTTTAAAATATAATTTAAGATAAGAGAGGTACATGATGTTTAAATGCTTCTCTAGATTAACCAAATCCATGTCCTAATGTGGCCTTAGATGTTTAGGTTGTGGCCTTAGTTTAGGTGTTAGATGTTCAGGTTTCGGTCCTGATTATTTATTACTTACAGATTCAATGACCCAAGAATAGAGATGTTACCCTAATTTCTTTTTGCTTGTATATTCTTGTCTGCCAAAATGCCCCCTTCATTCAGATTGTGGTAGTTTCTTACATCTCCATCTGACCTGCAGGGGGCTGCTGGTGCAGAGTCACTCAGGTGGATCAGCCCTTCAGTGGTGGATGATGTTGGTCTCCTCCTATATGTAAAGTGTTCTGGGATGAAAAGTGCTTTGTAAATTCAATTAATTAGTAGATAGTATGCCACTATCACAAGAACATTGTTTGATGTTGTCATTGCTTATAATAATTATTCATTTGACTGAACTAGGACCTATAATTAACTATATAATTCATTACCATCTAATAGGAATTGGAAAATTAATGCAGCAATAATAAATACTAAGTTAATTAGTTGAAGAGCCATAAGGATACAACATCAGTAGAGTGGGGTGGTCCTCACTGACAAGGGATTGGTGAGTTTTTTGCTGCGGGTTGTGCCCTCACACCTTTGATCAGCTGTCAAGGCAGATGCAGGCGCAACCATCCCTTCAGGCTTGTGTTTGTTTCAGCCCCAGAAACCCAAGATGGTCATGGAATATTGGACTGGGTGGTTCGATTCCTGGGGAGATCTTCATCACGTTTTCCCCACAGAGGGTAAGGCAGGCATACACTTGATTCAATTACAGTGGTTCTGAAGATGATTTTGTAATGCGCTGTGATTGTAGGCCTGAAGGGCATGTCTGGAATCTTAGGTTGGTTTCGCAGTTTGCGAACACCTGTTGTTGGTTATACTAGTTTGGCCACTGCTGTGTTCATATAAAGTGACAGATAGGGTAAGTTTGCTTTGCAAATGTGTCGCTTTGCATTTTTAGCGACCTGAACGAGTGAAAGCGAGAGATGTTTTATATCTGGAGGGGTTGTGGGACAGCGCCATGGGAAAACAACACACACCACTTTTGTTACTACAAACACAAAAATGACTGGTCATGTTTTGTTAGTCTTCTGCCGTCGCTCCGAATGATAAATGTCACCTTTGAGAAGTGGCAGTGGACGTTAGGCAGAGACAATTCAAAGCTTTTAAAACTGGTCAATAACAGATTTGCAGGGACAGGCCGAATTTGTTCATTACTTTTGTTTCTTCCAGAATGCGCGAGGAAAACATGATGTTGCTCCATTGTTAATTGTTCCCTCTGCTGTTTTATTTTCTGTTTGCAGCTGTTTTCACACTCCTTGCATATTAACAGCCTTCCTTTCTAGACTCTTATCAACTTTATCCCACAGGCGGGAAAAAGAACAGCAGAGGTCCGTGGGATCTCAATTAAAAGCTTTCTTTTGTATTTGAATGTCTTCACCAGATTTCTGCTGGTGGTTCTGTGTCAGTTGTTCTCACCCACTATAGAAAGTCATCTCTTGTGTGATGTTTGGCCGAATTGTGCACTGATTCTGCAATGGCTTTCTTTGGCAGACATGGCTGCCACAGTGACAGAAATCCTCAAGAAGCACATGTCCATCAACCTCTACATGTTCCATGGCGGAACCAACTTTGGTTTCATGAGCGGAGCCCTGGAGTTCGGCACCTACAAGCCAGATGTTGTCAGCTATGGCAAGTAGTCCTCATTTTAGTACTCTTCCTTAGTTGTGAGCTGGTAGTTCCTTTCCTGCTTGTATTAATCATTAATAATAATAATAATAATAATTTCTAGACACTCCACTCAAAGCACTTTTACAGGTAATGGGGACTCCCCTCCAGCACCACCAATGTGCAGCATTCACATGGATGATGCGACGGCAGCCATAGTGCGCCATAGAATGCTCACCACACACCAGCTACGATATTAATCGTCATTAAGACAACCTCATTTAGTCCTAAGACCAAGAAAGCCAAGGGTTCCTGAAGAATTATGACACTGTCGAAAACGTCTGTCTGAATATCACTGCAAACTAAGAGGCTACAAAGGAGAGGCTGGCCATCCTCCTGGAGAGCAGCAGTCCAGCAGGTTTCTTGATTAAGAATTCAATCCTTTAAAATAACAAAATGAGACCCCACCTGCAGTCACCTTGAGACAGATTTTTTCTTTTTCTGCCTTAAAGGAATATATTAATTGCTAACTTGATCAAAAACTCATATCTGTGACAAGTTTTAACAAACAGGTGACTGACGGTGGAATGTCAGAAGGTGCTGGTTTGCATTGTGTGCGGTTGACACCTATGTACCACAACATATTGCTGTTTGTGACCAGCAGATGGCTCTGTCAGTTCACCTCAGTGCAGGCCGAGAGCTATGTGGGAATTTCTGATTTTGAGTTACTGGAGAGTCTTGGGGTCCCCAGGCTTCCATTCCACTCAAGTTCTAGGATTTAAGTGGTTCTTTTATTTATTGATTGATGGCTTAATTAGCTGGACAAATGTGTAACACTAACCCACAGACTACTGTACATTTGGGAGAAAGTTCCTGCTTGGGCATCATCTAATGTAAAAGCCCTTTGAAAAAGGGAAAATAACGATTTAGGTGAAGTAATTGAAGAATCTCCCTCTTGTAATGTGACTGGCTGCAGAAGGCATACAGAGACTTAATAATATGTAAGTGATGCCTTCCTCTTTTTTTACTGCTTTGTTTAAAGGTAAGAGGGTATAAAAATGGTATTGCAAGGCTTGGTTTAGTAAATTAGTTTCTTGTATAGTGTTTGTCAGGGGAGAGTGATAGTCTGCACACCATTAAAGAAGGAATAATATTTTATCTGTGTACTGCATCTTCTTTTGAATACCCACACAGTGAGAAAAATTAGCAGTTAAGACAGGGGTTGAATGTATTGAAATTAATAAGTTTCCAGAAGCAGATACCGAGAAACAAAGACATTTCTTCAACCTTTCTTGATAAGGATGGTAGTTCTTTTTTTTTGCCTGTGAACCCCACAGCTGACTGTCCGTCAGGGGTGTTTACCATGTGGCCCGTGGGTAGTAGTGGTCAGAGGTATCGGCCAGGAGACAATTCACACCTTGTCTGATAGTGAATAGCCCGCACACACATCAAAACTCCCTCAGTAACACCACTGTAGCCGTCCAGCACACACATGCTCTCTGTGGTTCTCTATTTCTACCCAATCTTGGTTTTCCCTGTTTGATGATGTCACAGAGACATCATCAAACTGTGATGTGATGATGTCACAGATGTAGTCTGACGGGGGCGTGTCTATGCATGAAAATGTTGGGGGGGAAAAAAAAATTGGCACCACAACAACACAACACAACACTTCTTCCAAATTCTGGAGCAACCTTAGTGACTGATCCACTAATTGGCTCATTGAAACTGGACCTAGTGTTAGTAGAGGTTTTGAACATGGCACTAAGGTCCTTCTAATGTATTGTCTTCATAGAAAAATAAAATTATGTGGTTCAAAAGTGAAGAAATTTATATTTCTTCATAGAATTGCATAGACATTTTGATTTGTACAGGTTACCAAAGAGGAATAGCGAGAGCTCTATAAGTTATATTTTTTATTTGCTTTCTAACACCCGAAGCACTAGCAATACATTTTGCTGACAGGTTGTTAAAAATAAAGTGGATGTTCAGAAATAAAACTCACTAATAAGTGACAGCTATCACAATTGAAGTGGCTATAAAGGAAGGCCCGGCCATTGTGGCAAAAATGGCTTTGTACAGCAGAAAAAGATTTTAAAATACATGATTCACAGTAGCAAAACATCTGATAAACTGAGCATTCGTATTTTTACTTTTGCAAGGTATTGAAAGAGGTATCCCAGCAGAGATTTATGTAGTGTGCAGTATTCACAGCTGTGGTATAATAAATAATTAAGGTGCTGTAAACAATGCTAAGAAAAATTCTAGACCCAGAGAGTAATGCATATGTTTTGCTAAATCATTATGTAGTGAAGGCTATGGTGATTAAAATAAACATAAAAAAACAGAATACAAATATATGATGTTACTGTATGTAATTGTCGTGTCTGATATTTTGATAATTTATAGTATGTATGGCCTGCTTGAAGTATATTTAAATCTAATGTAGCAGATGAGTTTGCCATTCCTGGTCTAAACGGTCTAAAAATCATTATTGTATTGTTATGTGGTGATATTATAAGAGGTGCCTGTGCTGGAACGATGATAAAAGCTAATTCAGTATGAGATCAGGAGGCGTGCGTCCAGCCGAAAAAGTGATGTGTCATTTCTCACGAGACCGTCCTCTGAGGGTTTCAATCAATTCTGCAGCTATTTTCCCCCACTTTCACCTTGTTTTAATGACACTGATATTTAAGATGGATTGTGCTGTCAGGGGACCTTTTGACAGCTTCTGAAGTCCTTGTTTTGCGCATCTTCGGTTTAACTAATGTATAGATACAGTATATATTATCATTGAGGTTATGGCAGTGCACCAGTCTGAGGTTCCAGAAGGATGAGTCTGAAGGAGAAAGGCACCCTGTGGTAAAGATGAAACATATTCAATATAGCAGACAAATAGATACTTGTTTCCCCAGAGGCTTGGAGAGATCATAAGGCACCGTTGCCGTTTCTCACTGGAGAAGTACTTGTCTTTCAGATTATGATGCCCCTTTGTCTGAAGCAGGAGACTACACTGAGAAGTACCATCTGCTGCGGAATATATTCAGCCAGTACCACAGTAAGTCTTGTCATCAGAGGTTACAGCTCTCTGCCCTCTGTGCTAAACCCAGAAAAGAGACTTCCAAGAGCAGGACAAAACAGCCAAAAATATTTTAATTTGCCTGTTATTTTCCACACTATGTACTGTGGAAATCTGACCCTGGCCTGGGTCATTGCTCTGACCTGGCTTGAGTGCATTTTCAACAAACACCTGCTGTATGAGACCTTCAGGAAAAACTGTTGAGTGTTCAGGTGGGTAGCTGCGTCAGCATGCGTCGTCTGCAAAGGAACAAGTAGCATTGTGCCATGTGTGGAAGTTTATCTATTTCATACCTAGTGGTCACTCATAAACACCCATTCATGGTTATAACATAGGGTGTCCAGAGCTGTACTTGGATTACCTGTATACAGTGAGAGGATACTCCTGGTGTGTACATTCTTTGGTGTTCTCTGGAAATGGCCATTTCATTACAAGTTAAAACTCCTCTCAAATATTCATTGACCTGCACTGTGACTTCTTAACACACTGCATACAATGTGAAAACATGTTGCATGCATGCATTGGTACATGTCAGTATATAAAACAAAATCTATGAGAGACCGTTGGAGAGAAGTCATAATGTAGCCAAGCTCAGTTCAGTTGTTTCTAGTCATGCTCATTATTTTAAAGTCAATTTTAAAGATTTTTTTGGTGCGGAATAAGTGTTTGACACGCTGGGGAGTATTTTAGATAGGTAGTATTCAACGTCTAGTTAAATTCTTTTAATTTAATTCTGAAATGAGGCTCTTAGGAAACCAGATTTGGTTTATATTTAATGTCAGGAACGCAGTGCCTTCTGAGACGTAAAACAACTAAATATAATCCCTTGCAATGTCATTATTTCCTGCTTAAAGGTAAAACCGAATAGCTTGTTGCAAGGAGAAAACCATGGGACTTTATTTCCTTGATTACAAAACCATAACTGTTGTTGTTTTCCTGGGCGCACTAAGGGGGCAAAACAGTTCCCAAATTAGAGATTATAAACCACCATGAACAAAATGAAAATATTGAAAGCAATTTTAAATATAAACCCAGCAAAAAATGATTGTGCTCTAATTACTAATTTAATTACTCTATTTGCTGTTAGTAATGTTACAAATATACGAGTTAAAGAAAATAGAAAATGCTGACCGGGATAATTAATAATGAAAACAAACAACCCAAACTGTAAAAATATGCACAATGGGTGGTATAGTTAGAGGCACCTGAGTTCTTTGCTTTCTGGCACACTTTACTGAATAAACAAATATATAACAATAACACCAACATGCTGTGTCAGCATGCGTTGGCTGCAAAGGAACAAGTAAAGGTTTATTCCATGCTGAAAAGAGAAGAAAAGAAACGCGATGTTTCGTCTGTGGAGCCTTCTTCGGGTGATGCCCCCTGAAGAAGGCTCCACAGCAGGAACGTTGTGTTTCTTTTCTTCTCTTTTCAGCAAGGAATAAACCTTTACTTGTTCCCTTATGAAACAACATACAGATTACCCTAATTACAAACAAGATGTCATCTTGACCACCCAGAAAAACCCAGCCTGCTAACTGCTCAGAAATCTTCTATTGCTCTACAGGCCAAGAAGAGAGTTAAATTGTTGCTGTCTTAAGTAAAATGGAATACAACCTAGAGCTAATTCTTCCATCATAAATGCGTGAAAGCTCTCAAGTGAATGGGATCCTTTTCTAAGAATGCATCGCTGATGAAGAGAGAACGTTTTTAGCCTGGGGATTGCTTACAAAGGAAAAAAAAGTTTCCTCAAACAACAGAAGTGCAAGCTCTCTTAGACAAGGTTCAAATAGCTAGCTTCAGTCTGGTCTTTTAAGGTTGATTCCTAAAAGGCCCTCTCACCTAGCGTGGTTTTTCTCCTCTTTCCCCCTCTCTTCCTTCTGTCTCTTTCCTCCTTTCTCTTCTGTTTTGTCTGCTTCTGCCCGTCTGTCTTTTTACCTCATTTTTCTGGACTGCTGGTCACTCTTAATGGTTGACTAGAGTAATTTTCCAGAAGGTCCCCTTTGATCTTGCCTCTCAGATAACCTAAAGCTGCTATCCATGTTTTGTAGATACAAGCACCTCAATAGCCACTTCAATAGCTGTAACAACAGCCTTCTAAGTATTTCAAGAGGATGATCTGATATTTCTAAGCCACCTCAAACTTTACCTTAAACAACATAGTCTGTATTTGTTTTGCCACAGCATGCCTGTTGTTTGAAAACAGTCTATTTCCCAGCTGGGCCCAGCTTTTACAATAAGCAGACTGTACTGATTTCTGAGTGCTTTGGACCGAACCTGGTGTCATGGACTCATTGGGTTTTCTGTTGTAATTCTGACACATTGTTTCCTTTAGCTGAGAAGCTTCCTTTGGTGCCTGCGCTGTCCAGGAAAGCTGTCTACGAAACGTCAATAATGTATCACTACATATCTATGTGGGAGGCCCTGCAGTTTACGGAAGAGGTAAAAAGAGAAGCTGTGCGGTCCTTTTTTCTCCATTAAGCACAATGGTGTAAATTTGTGCAACTTTTGTATGGATATATGTGTAAAATAATACAGCATGCACTGCTGCTTCAAATCTCTGGGGTCCTGGCTTTGATCCTGGGATGAGGGAGCCTTCTGTCAGTAGCTGTATCACCCTGCAATTCACAGCTGGCAAACCACTGAAGCTCAGCAGGTGTGAGCCTGGTCCTCCTGGGAAGGCTATGGTTGCTTTGCTCACCCTTCGATCTCTGTGGGTTCTAATGCCCCAGTATAGTGATGCTGGTGATGCTGGTACTATACTGTAGAATAGGCACCATCCTTTTGGATGAGACGTAAAACCAAGGTCCTGACTCATTAAAAGATCCTGGTCATGAAAAATCCCAGGGCCTTATCTCAAAAAGAGTAGGGGTGTTAATCCTGGTGTCTTGACTGAATTTCCCCTTGGCCTTAACCAGGCCTCCTAATAATCCCCATCTGTGAGATGGGTTCATCACTCTGTGCTCCCCTCCTCACTGAGTGTGGTGGAGGTACTGGCTCACTCTGGCTGCCGTCACGTCATGCAGGTGGTGGCTGCACATTGGTGGCACTACGATGGACTGTCAGTCTAACCAAGGTGTATTCCTGTCTTGCGGCCTGTTTCTCCAGCCCTTGCTATGATGAAGTGGCTGTGGGCAGTGGAAGGGTGCTGTAGCTCAGCTGCGGTGTTGTGCAATTTGGTTTGTAGGGCACACCCTGACATTCCACTAAGCTTCTGTGATGGAGAGATGCTTAGACAAGAAGTAAGCAGTCTGACAGGGAGGCAGAATTTTAATTCCGTCCTCTGGCGCCCTGTCATGTGTCTCACTCCAGATTTCAACTGCCCAGCAATTTGTGCCAAAAGCAAGGCCAAACAAAATTAAGACCTTTTTCGGTTAAGTGCCGCAGCATTTCTGGGCCTGGTCATAAACCGACAGGAAATCGCATAAAATCCTTTAATGTCTACTTGTCTCACATAAAAGGGGCCCACAGTAACAAGTGGTAGCTGTGAGTCCAGTGTGAGTCCAATGTGATGTGTAGGATTGAATACTGGATTTAGTGCAGTGGAAAAGTTATGCATGAGTATCAGTTACGTGTGCCTTGTGTAAAGGATTAATGTTTTTCCAAATTAAACACTTGTTTTTGAATTACAATAGTTGAGTGAAAGAGGACAGGTAACTGATTTTTAAACTTATTTTGGGAAACAATGGCACTGTAGATGGTTCCAGGTATGATTCAAGGCTGTGAATTTTTGTCATGTTCATTTCTACACTTTTGTGCTTTTATGTCACTACATGCTGTGCTGTTTCTGACATTTACTTGTCAGGCTGAAAGAGGTTTGCCGGCTTTCTAGCTCGAGCTGCAGTGTTACCATTAAGGACTGGATTTTAGAGAGTTATTGCTGGCAGCCTTTTTGAAAGCCAGCGGAATTATTAAAAATATCCACAGGGATTTTGTTGTCGAAATCCAGCTACTTCATTTCTTTCATAATTTGAGCAGGATTTTGCCTTTCCAAAAAAGAAACAAAGCAGCAGCAGGAATTCACTAGATTAACTGCTTTATATTTATATAGTATCCCATCTATTCCTGAATGTGTGATATGCAGTTTGCCATAGCTACACAAATTAATACTACACTTTGTCCACCAGAGCTTTAATTTCATCTTCTGTTTTTGCAAATCCATTCGGACAGGACAATGATCTTGCACTTAGTATGTAGGAAAGAAGTGAAATGAAACTTAGATGTCTGCTGTCTGCTGTCACAACAGGATCTGCCATCTGCTGTCTACATCTGCTGTCGCATCTGGATGTTTGCCTGCAGCTGAAAAGGCAATTCTCCGTTTGGAAAAGTGGATGAGAGTCCGCTTTTTTGGTCATTTTGCGGGCTCACCCTTAAGAAAGATTTTCGTGGTCATCTTTAACCTGGCTTTATATCAGGGTTTTACCCTAGTGTGCCTCCATGAGTTCAATATGCCTTCATGGATCATGGGAATGTCACAATGTACTGTAGCAGGCAAACATTCGTGGTACATATGGTGGTATCCCCATGGACCAGTGAAGTGAGGCAGCCAATCGAAAACCACCCCCGATCCACAGGAAGTGGGATAAGTGAAACCCAAACCCAGGTCAAGGTGCGCATGCTTTGGTACCAGTTTGCACTACATCTGTGTGTGGCTGGACAGGGCTTGTCAGAGTCAGCACCTGCTGCATCTCCCAGATCCTTGTTACAGTCCAAGGATGGTAATACTGGTAATTCCATAATTCCGGTAATACCAGTAATTCAATGTTAAAGAAGATATAAAGAGCAAAAGAAAGGAAACACGTGAGAGAAGGCCATTAAGCCATTAAGCTTTTTTGAGCTCATTGATCTGGAGGTTCTCTTGTAGCGATCTCTTTAAGGAAGCCAGGGTGATCGACTCAGCCACATGACTTAGGCAGCTGGTCCATTGTCCCACAACCCCTCCATCCATTTTCTGACCGCTACTTCCCACTCAGGGTTCTGGCATTCAGGGGGCTCAAGGCGGGTTTCGCCCTGGACGCGACACCAGGGCAGACACACAGTCACGCCAATGGCTTCTTTTCCCAGGAGCCAATGAACTTACCAGTATGTCTTCAGGCTGTGGGAGGAAACCAGAGCACCCGGTGGAAAGCCAGGTGAACAAGGGGAGAACATGCATACTCCACACAGACAGCACCCCAGAACTGACACCAGGGCCCCGGCCGGCCCAGGCGATAGTGCTAGCCACTGCACCGACCCACCGCCCGCCCTGCAGCTGCTGGGTTCTCAGTGTTAAAAGAGCTTCCTTTTGGTTTCCCCTTGTACTCTTGTTTGTTGCAAAGCGCTTCCACTGCTGATGCGGATCTCTGCTCTCTTCCCAAGCCCTTCAAGTCAGAGAGGCCGGTGAACATGGAAAACCTGCCGGTGAACAATGGCAACGGGCAGTCCTACGGATACACTCTGTATGAGACCACCATCACCAGCGGTGGGACCCTGCACTCCAACAACAGCGTCCGCGACAGAGCCCTGGTGAGCGCTCAGCTAGGACTCCACCTGTGCATCATTCCTATATGTTTTTTAAGTAAATGCTCATTTCCTGAGGGCATGCTTACTTTCATAGGTGCCTGTCCCCACAGCTCCTTAAATTCACTTGGAATTCCACTCTCTTTTCAGAGTGTCTCCCACTTAAAGCTCAGGGGGGTCGAGCTAAACACCTGCGTCTCATTGCTGCTCTCAGCAACCATTTTGGCTCCAGGCCACAGCATTTGGTCAGGGTTTGAGCCAAGATGGAGGCTTCCCAGGGAAAGCTCTCAGCAGCTCCATGCAGTTATTAATTAAAAGCAAAAATGACAGCACTTCAGAGGCTGTGGTAGATGGATTCAAGACAATTGGGAAACAGGTGGACTGTTGTAAAATTATAAGCTTCTTGGCAAAACAAGTGGAGGATGACAGGTTTTTAAGAGGTGCCAAAGGACTGTTTTTTGAAACTGGTTTTGAATCCTCTTTGGTTCCAGTTTGTTCTGACTGCATCTATAATGAATAAATTGAAACTGATTCACAAAATATGGCAGCCGATTCTAAACATAGACAGAATCCACAAGGTTTCCAGGTCTCTTTAAATCATCAGTGGCCGCTACCCTCTGAAAAGTCTTGATCTGGTCCCGTTAAGCTCTGAGAAGCTCAATTAGGTCATTAAGAGCAGAGGTGGAATGTAAACCAGTAGTAACTGTGACCCTTCAGGACTATAGTTGTGCACCCCTGGTGTAGAGTACTAACTCATTGGGAATAGAAACTGGTAGTATTTTCTTTTTACCCAACTGAGGGGCTTCTTGTGTTTGTTTTTTTTTAGGTGTTTGTAGATCAGCACTTCATTGGAATTCTGAAATCCAAGACTCTGGAACTGGCCGTGCCCGAGGGAAAGGTACAGGGTGTTTTATTGAGACAACCTACAGGCGGATGTCAGAGATAAAGAAAGAGTGGTGTTCAGCTACTACACAGCTGTGTGGCTGGCTGTATAATTCAGAGAATGCAGCCAACCCTGTGCATCCATTTTCCCCACTTGTAAAACAGAAGCAAACCCTGATGTAGCGTGGTGGTTTGCAAACTTACACACCTGCCAGGTTACCTGCAACTCCAGGCCAATGCCTCAGTTACTCGGCCCCCAGCCTTCTGTCCAGAGAGGCTGCTTTTGGAGAACAGAAAATGCAAACTGTTCATGCAAATCGATCAAGATGCGGTCTGACAGTTAGGAGCCTTTTTTTACTGTTGCAGGGAGACCGAAAGCTGAGTCTGCTTGTGGAGAACTGTGGGAGAGTGAATTATGGGAAGCATTTAGATGACCAGCGGAAAGGTAAGGTACAAAATGACACATCTACCATTCTACTATCCACTGTTTCTGTTGGAAAGAAAGCAGGAGGCCTCTACCATGGAAAAGGACACAGTCAGACATCAAAATGAGTTCTCATTTGGTGAATTCAGGGAGGAAATTTTCATTTTGACACATTTTGGACTTGAAAAGTTCTCCTTCGGTCCAAAGAAAGGCGTTTGGTGAGGTGCTAATGCTCCAGCTGTTTTAAGATCTGTTTTCAGAGATTATGGCTTTCCTTTGTCCGCCATGTCGATTAAGAAAGTGCAAAAAAATGTTCTACAATTCTGCCACCATTCTGATACCAATGCTGTGGCATTAATATTAATTATACAGATGGCCTTATCCAGGGCACAATAGGGTATATAAAACTCTCAGTCCAGTATGAACAAAAACTGTGCATATACCATATAGCAGTAATTTAAACAGCTCATAGGTATTTCTGTCTTATTTGCAGTAAATAAGGGAAATTCCAGCTAACAGAATTATAAACAGCAGTGCTACATAGCTACCAAGTGAAAGCAAATGACTGTGAGATGGCATTTTCTCTAGTGGACAGTAAACATCTATCTGACTACCAAACAGTGTTCTAGTAAGGAGTATAGGAAAAGCTTTAGAGAGAACAAAAACAAATATACATATACAGTACGTAGCCTGCAGACTAACCATGTACCTGATGAGTTTGAACTCTTTTCTGGTATTAGTGTTATCTGAAAACACATTTTTCCTTCTGATCTGTCTGTCTTTGCACTCAGTCACCTTTGCTTTGTGTAATAATAAGCATGAATTGCTTCCTTCTTTTTCTTAATTTTGCTTTTCTTTATTTTAGGTCTGGTTGGTGACATTCTGTTGAACAATATCCCTCTAAAAAAGTTTTTTATATACAGCCTGGACATGAAGCCCAGCTTTATAGATCGGTATGCTTTGTTTTATCTTTTTATCTCCTGATCTGTTATGCTGCCACTGTGTTGTGGAAAGTATTGAGGGAAAACAGGAAGGCACAAGTCACACACGGAAGGATAATCGAAATAAAAAGCAATTCACGAGCACAGATCCGTGGTAATTTCATTCTGCTGGAACAAAACACCGTGAAGAACTTGAATTCACACTGCGGCCCGGGCCACTGCTCTTCTAATGAGATTCTTTTAATATAAATTATAACTGTCAAGAAGTGCAGTATAATTATATAGTATATCACTTAATTTCTGTTGTTTGGAACTGCCCAAATGACACAGTGCAGCATTAATAATGCATGTCATTGTAGTATTACTCCTGCTTGTATTGTGCAACTACCATCATTGCTTCTTTAACTAAAGACTATTTCATGTTCTTCGTGATCGGTATCTTCTGATGTACTAGAAAGCTTTTCGGAATATAGCTGTGCTGGCATGTGGCTTGGTGAAAATGCGTGCCCGAGTTCTTTCAGTTCAGAAAGGAAATGTTCTTGCACCACGTTAGTGAAAACGCGAGCCGATTCTCTCCATTCTTCCAGTCTCAGTGGAAAAAACTGGAAGCTTGTTCCGGAAAAGCCGACGTTTCCGGGATTCTTCCAAGGGAGACTGTTTGTGGACGGTTACCCGCGGGACACGTTTGTCAAGTTGCCGGTGAGTAATGTGTCTCTTCATGAAGTAGGTTGACGGAGAGACATCAGCTTTGTAGCTCATGAGTACAAGCTTCCAGGTGTATGAACTCTCTCCCCAAGGATATCGGAGAGTCACCTTCTCTAAACTCCTTCAAATCCAGACTCAAAACCCTCTTCTTCAGAAAAGCCTTTACTTAACTGGTTCTATTCTTCACCGCTCTGCTTTTCCTAGTATCACCATCCACAGTCTCCTCTATATATTGTAATTGTGTTTTATCTTGTGTATTCTTCTTTTTATTGTTGTTGTCATCCTGTAAAGCGCTTTGCGAAGCCACCTTTAAAGGCGCTATATAAAATAATGTTATTATTATTATTATTATCATCTTCCAGGGTTTAGCGATACACATGGAAGAGATACAGCATTTTCTCCTTTTGTGTTATACTGTTTGATCAGATCAAAAGTGACATAATGGTTAGGGCTTTGGCTAGTGCCACACAGCTTCTTGAGTCAAATTCTGGGTTGAAGCCCCTTCTATGTAGTGTTCGCATGTCCTTCCCGTGTCCATGTGGGGTTTCATCTGACTTGGGTTCCAGTTTTCGATCAGCTTCTAAAGACACTCTGGCTAGGTCAGCTGGTATTAGAGATAATTGGAACAGGTAAAAAGAAAGGAGACACAAAGTTTTGGCAGTGGAGGCTTCTTCAGGTGTGAGAAAGGTAGACGGCAAAGATTAAATAGCACAGGAGGACAAAAGCTGGAAAAGTGGAGGGAGAGGGGAGAGGCAGAGAGGCCACTCAGGAAGTGCAAAGTGGAGAGGGATGGAGAAAGGTGTGAAGTCAAACCCTGCATGAGAATAGAGAAGATTACACGAAAATAAGTCGGCCATTGAGAGAAGGGGGACGGTGTGAACCTAGTTCCAGGATGAGTATAGTTTCTGTTGTCTTTCTGCTGTGGGAGTTGAGAAACCCTTCTTGGAGAACAGAGACAGAGAGATCAGTGTGATCATGGCCGTCTGAGGTGAAATGAGTAACTATGGACTTGGAGGAATCTTTAATCTTCACAGCCCTAACGTGTTGTCTGAAGCGGTCTCCTAGTCTTAGAGATAATTGTGCATCTAATGGATGGATTGTCATCCCATATCCCAGATGACAGTCTTGTCTTGTACCCTACGCATTTACAATAGGTTCTGGGTTGCCACAAGCCTTACTAGGGTTGAATAAACTCCTTTTGGATAATGGATGATTTTTTTCCAGTGTGTCCGGTGCATTTTATCATTTAGCCTTTTATAACATTCAGATTCTTTGTCTAGGGTTGGACAAAAGGAGTAGTATTTATCAATGGGCAGAATCTTGGACGCTATTGGTCCATTGGTCCACAACAAACCCTCTACCTCCCAGGACCCTGGCTTAACAGTGGGATGAATCAGGTACATGGTTAAAACTCTCACTGTACTTAAGCCTTTTAAACTTGCATGATGTCTTTCAAACTTTTCTTCTGTCGCAAAATGCGCTTCACAGTTTAAACAAAATCATCCTCAACTGATTTCCCTAGCGTTCCATGGAGGGAAAATGGCAATGATCAAATTAAACTTTCCTTTTTGTACTTAGTGTACATTGTTTATGGCTAGATTTGCACTGCTGAGCTTTTGGAATGGAGTAAAATGAAGATTAGCCAGCATGCTGGGAATTTACTGCTCTAAATTTACTGGGAGATTAAAACGCGATCAAATCTAATGTTGTAAACCTTTGGTGAAAGTTCACATGGGCTAGATCTGCTTGTCAGAAAACACTTCCTTGTACCGATCATTCATTTTTTTCTGCTGCAGATCATTGTTTTTGAAGAACAGGAAGCAGAGAGAAAGATCCAGTTAGTGGACACTCCCGATCTTGGGATGGCTGTAGACATTGAGTGATGGAGAAAGATCAAGCTGGTTTATTTTTCAAAATGCCGTGTACTGTCCTGTAGCTTCTCTAGACTGGATGCCCCATTGAATGTTCTTTTTTTTACAATTTCAGAAAAACGCATGACTTTTTCAGTAATCAAACCAACTTGTGGTCATGATTGATATATGCAACCTAGAAGATTGTTACCCAATCTACCTTGTCATTAAGACCTTTTTGTTTGGGAATTTGTACATGCACTTGCATGTCTTACATTTGGTACTTATTTGTATTCCTGATTTTTGTTGGTCCTTCTGCAAGGACCTCCTGTGTGCAGGTATTGGTGATCATTATTTTTACTCTTGACTGCTAGCAGATCCCAAATTCCTAACATTAAAATGCTGGGTTTCCTTTAGCATTTGTATGTATCCTGAGAGGCATGAACAACAGAGCAAATGCTATTACAGTAGTTCATATGTTGCATTTTTAATACCTCTCAGTGTATATGTAAATATGCAGTCCTCATATGTTTATATTTCTTCATAAAATGGGATCATCATTGAAAACGTGTATTTCAGAAAACATTTGAATGAAAATTGTTTGAAAATGTGGGGTCAAAAACCATTTTGATTGTATTTTGTCAGGTGGCCTTTTTGTACAGGTTTTATTTATGTAATTATTTAATGCTTTTTATCCTCCTGAAAAATAAGAATATTTTGCTACTTCTAATATTCCACAGATTGAAGTTATTCGATGTGTATATAATAATTTGCTGTAAAACGCCAGCCTTCTTAAATTTGAAACTTCTATCTTTTAAAGTTTTTTTTTTAATGAAAATCTCTGCATCACTGAGAAATGACACAATACAAGCGTCATGGCCATATTCTTAGCTTATACTATTCTCACTAGATTAATTGTTGTGTACAAATTCAGGTTGTTAAATAATGTGGGCAAAATGAACTTCTTTTGTGCTTGTCACATTGTTGGTTTTCTGTATAGGGCTTTATTAAAACAATTGTTAACACTAAAGTACAACTAAGTGACTCAAAGCTATTGTTTTCATCGAAGGTCTGGCAAATGTTTCAACCTATAACCTTTGAGAACACTGCCTGGAAAAAAAAAACAGTGAACAAATAAAAATGTTTTATAGGGATATTGGTTGTATACTGTGTCTGTATCTTTCCCTTTTTTAATACCCACATCCTTAAAAATCACACGATGAGCAAGCAAAATATATTTTTTTTATTCTGTTTATTCTGTACATTCTAATTAATGCGACATTTTAATGCTAACAAATTTGATGTTATTCCTTTCCTTAGTTCAACATTCTGAAAGAACAGTTGAAGGAACAATTTAAATTTCCTTCCGGTTTGTTTCAGAAACTGGGCAAAAAGTTTCCTGAACTGCCTAGAAAGCACCCTTGCTTCAAAACTAAGAAGATGTGAAAGACTGACAGGCGAAAATAATTGACATACTCAGTATGCACTTACTATTTAGACAATCTTTTGCTTATATCACAATTTCAGTTAAACCAGGGAATTTAATTGAAACTCCTTAATTGGCTCACCTTCTGAACTATATAGACAAAGAAACATTTATTTTTCGGCAACTCATGAACAGAACGCAGTAATTGAATTACGTTTCCACCTTAATACTGATTGAAAGCCTTTTTTTGGTATTAAACAGCTAATTCTATGGATTGCAGTTTTCGTCTTTTTCAAACTGTAAAAAAAATGAATGCCAAACTAAAGAAGGAGGGCAAACCGGTATTTTTCTAGGTTTTATTTCTTTCAGTTTTGATATTTCAGTTCTTCTTACTAACATGGAATTGTGGAGGGAAATGAACAACCTTTAGTCTAATAACATGCAGAAAGTGCTTCTTGTAACCCCCATCATGGATGAAAATGACAACCAATATACCAAACAATGAAATGTACTTACTATAGCAAAGACCTAAAAGGTGGGGGTTTCACATGAAAAAGGATTAAAAAGTGCCATGGGATTAAAACCAGCTGTAATCGCGAATGACCAGAAACGTAGCAGACGAGCAAACAAATAATAATTCAGACTTGCTTATTTTCAAAGGGTTTTTCAGAAACTGCAGCTGCTCTCCCGTCAGACAGAGGCTTCTGTACCCGTCAGCGCTGACGTTAGCCTTGTCAGATGAAGAATGACTCCACGTCGTTAAGTATTGATGAATGAAACTACTGAGCCCGAATGTTTTGCTTGGGACAGAAGGAGTGGAGCGTACAAAGAGATCGATGTGCAGAGTGTGGCTCGGTGTGGTGTTAGCGTCTGGAAAGCAAAACCTAAATAAAGAAGTTAGCCTGAAGGGAAAAAAAACAAACAGACCAGAATGAAGAAAGCACATCTTGAGTTTCAAAAAAAAAGACAGCCTGAGCCCTGATCGCTCTTTTAATACTTGATGTATTTTGGATGAGGAGCCTAGACAAACTCACTCAGGCTTGTTTCAGGAGTAGGCAAGGGTGTGTGCTGAAGGAACTGCTGGAAACAGCCGGAGCGAGATTTTGGACGCCTGTTGCTGCTTCATCGTCTAGAGAAGAGCTGTTTTTTTGATGCTGACATCAAGACCGTTGTGACTTAGGAGTAACCGAGAAAAGCTTAAAAGGCCCGATCTTCTGTCTCCTTAGTTTGCAAAGCTAGCAAAACAGCCTGAATTTTCTGTTTTCACAATAGGGAGAAACGATCTGTGGATAATTTGTGCAGAACATCCAGCACCCAGGAGCCTAATGATGAGTTTTCAAAAACACCTTTCATCTTTCTAAAAATATCGGTGTATGCTGAACAGAAGGACTTATTGCAATATGATATTATCTTGAAGGTTTTAATTTTGTCCAGGAGCAACACAGCCATTCAATAGAATGACCAAAAAAACTATACCTAAGTGCTCAAACATGAGGAATGCAATTTTGAACAACAGCAAAATGTACAGGCAAAGCTGTAGTATTTCTACTGTAAGTTGTAAATAATTGTGTAGTCTCTCATGTGAGATTGTTCTCTTTCTGTTCAATTTTGTTGTGTAAACATTCAGTAATTAAAACATACACACACACCAAATCGATTTCTCCTATCTAGAGAAGTGATTCAAAACGAGGCTGACCTGCACTTAGACTTCTTCCCTCTGGGTTGAAAATGGAAGAACCTGAATTTTGTTCTCAGTCTGTAATTTCAAAGAATATTGTGGACAAACAATGTAACAAAAAGCTTATACCATTAAAGAAAAATTATTGCCATAATGTTTGGACTGATGTCTTTGCAAGTGAATATGAATATGACCACTGTCAGAAGTGCATTTTTATCTTGCTTAATGCTTTAATCTTTTCCCAGCGATTTCAAAAGAAAATGTTACTAGTTCTGAAAAGCACTATATGGTTAACAAAAGACAAAATTCACTTCGGAACAGCTGCCATTCTACTTGTATCCATTTGAACTTACAGACACAGAATGAGAACAATGTAATATTAACTGTGATTCCAGCCTTCGTCCAAAAAATTTGAGGATGAGTCTTGTACATTCATTCCACCCTAATTTCTGTTTATATTGCAGCCTTATAACACAAATCTAAATTAAAACAACTCAAAATCAGTATGTCTACCATAACA